AATTTTTATTTTACATATATATAGCGTTACATTCATTAGTTCATGTCATTAAGATGTGTATTGAGTTGGGTCTAAGGCAAAGATTTTATGTTTATACCATAGCGTTGTATTTGAAGATGATCTCTAATTGGGCCATAGAATCAAATCAATATTATAAGATATAGTTTTGACACTAATAATAATATAATGAAATTGAATTAAAGGGGTTGTATTTGATAATAGATGACACTTACCGACAACCGTACCCTACATTTAGACAACCAAATCTAAAGGATCCCTCACAAATCAAAAGATTAACCATCAAAGTGCTTCCTTAATCATGCAACATCTAGACTTAACTAGAATAAAGTCATGGCCTTTCTTTCACTCATAACAAATCAGCAATAATGCATGCATTTATAATAGGGCCTTGTTAAAATCAAGTTGAAGAAATTCAATTTAATTTTAATTGAGATCCACAAAGTTTGTAATTGTGCCTTCCTCTATTTCATCACTTTTTTTTTTCCCTAATCACTCTCAAAACTCTATGCATTAGAGATTATAGTAGGACTGTAGTAGCATTTTAGTAATAGTTGGGATTTAAATTTAATTTGAATCTATCTTTTAAAACACGTTGTTCCATGAATGTCTAATTAAATTAACATGATTGTACAATTTTAAAGTATTGTACTTAAAATAGGGCACGACTTCTCGGATCTGATGCATCACAATAATGAATTAGTGATATGGAGGTTTGATGACATATATGCATGAGATCTTATATAGGATATCTCAATGTGTTAATCAATGATCTTTTGTTTGGACATATGTATTATATTTGTCCGTTTCATTATACGTACAAGGTACAATACTTTTATTTTCACGCTTATGGACTTATCAATCCATATCATATTTTCAATCAGTAAATATCATTCCTTAACTAACATCAAAATATACCATTCAATTATTAAGTAAACATCACAAAAAGTTCCTCACAATTAGCTGACCTCTTCTCTAATTATATATTATTGATTTAATTAGTTATTATAATTATAATTAATGACTTCTCCGAAAAGAAATGAAATTAAAAAGATGGAATATTTTGATGTGCACAAATTGATCTAATATATAGATCAATTAATTTATTTTTAATATATATATCAAATAAATTTGTAATTGAGTTGACCACACTATTGCCAAACCCAAAATACAGCTTTGATGTATGTTTGGTGGTGTTTTCTGACCAGACCATGTTATCCTATGATTCGTATGTGTAGGAGTTTTTATTGCTTACAAAATATGATGATTTCGAAACAAATTTTTAATTTAGTCTAGTCAAACAAGATTGTTATTAGAACTAATTTAACTAAAATTGTAATTTATTGCATTGGTTATCAAAAACTAATTACATACTTCTTTCAGTTCGTATTATTTACTTCATCTTGTATCAATAGTAACATACATAATATTAAATTTTAAAAATGTTTTAATTGAGGGATTTTCAAATGTATTATAAGGTGAACACAGAATTCTTCAAAAGTTCGTTGACTTATACTTTGTATAATATTAGGTTAGTCCCCGTGCCATGTACGGAAATTTTTAATAATTAATTTTAAATTAACATTATATAAAATTTAAAACATTGATGTTAATGAGTAACGAGACAGTTGCAAACATTGGCATTCGCCACATGAACAGGGTCATGAACTAATAGTAGCTAGTCAATTAAAATTTAATTTCGTTACTTTAAGAAAGTTTGTGACAGAAACGCTAAGAGATTTTTTATTTGATTATTTATGATTGTTGAAGTTATGGATTGCGACTTGTGAGTATATACTTCTTGCACAAAAAAAAAAAAAAATAAATAAATAAAATTGTGAGTGTATTAGTGTATACTATAGATCTAATACTGCAAATTTAAAAAGTAAACAGGCTTACTTGGTACGTTGGTTATCTTGTATACTAGCCTAATAACCTAACTTTAAGTTGAATTTGTATCAACTGTGTAATACTTTTTAATAATACGAGTCACATTTTTTACTTTAAACCCTCTTCAAATTATTATTATTATTATTTTTTTATGCAAAAGAGGGGCAAGCCCCGGGAACGAGAAAACAAGAAAACAATTAAGGGGGAACAAAGCGTGGCATAGCCACTCCTACTACATACCCTCTTCAAATTATTACGAGTAGATGTATGATAGTAATGATACCTTTAACAAAGAATTAGATTGAAAGACAATGTTAGTATGATGGAGCTCTAAAGCTATATAGTGTAACAAAGAGCGAAAAATGTATAACGACGGCAATGTACTACTCCGTACAACAAGGTAATACAAGCATACAAGTATACAACATTGTTAAATAACCCACAATCACATCGGACTACATCACTACATCATGTAATTTAAGGGCAGAATATTTTCTACTCCGTACAAAAGTGACAAGATTTTTTGGATATTATAAATACATGCTAAAATACATTTCGAATTTCCAAACCTTGATTAATCACCTCAAATTAAATTCAACCTTAGAATTTTCCTCTAAACCAAGCTGTCGGAATACTATTAATTTTAAACTTTATGCATTATGTTCACCAACTAAAAAGTGCAAAAATGAACATGGGTTAAGGAGACACAAGAACTTTTCCGATGAAGCTTAACATTAAAGCAATTTCCACCGCTATATGCCCGTTCACCACCACCCACAACCTTTTTTGTCCCTTATTATTAGTCTTTCGTTATTCAAATACATTCATTTCTAATTATTGTTAGAGATATGAGATACCATCTCTACGGAAAATATATCATAAATTTAATTTGTTCGAGTTTTAATCAGAAGCTCAAAAGAGGTGATTGATAACAAAGGAGTAGTTTTTACAAAAGCTATCAATCAATGAATATGTCAAATGTATTTTGCTAATTTTTTTAATGGTAAAGGAGAAAAACTTTGACTAAATCTTAACCCTTATGGTTTTTTAAGGTTTACTATTTATGGATCAGATAATTAAAAGTGAGACATAAGGATTAGGACTCCGACCTCAATAACCAGGGGAAGTTTTTCATTCATTGCCTCATTGGGGCTAGTAGTTATTTCAAGAGTTTATGGACATAAGGAATATATATAGTCAATATTGATACAAAATGTTATTGGTTAGATATATACAATTTCAATCTTACAACTAAAGATTAAATTTTAAGTCTAGTCCTCTGTATATTTTGGTCTAAGATTTGCTACTCAAAGTGTCTTTAGTGAAAATTGAAATCAAGGTACAATTTTTTTCCTTAAGCCAATTTAACTTGATTTTTTTTTTGGTGCACACGAGGGCCAAGGACCCGAGAAACCAAATTTAACTTGATAAATATAAATTACTACTACTCTATTCAACATCTCAAATTATAAACAGAGAAAACAAAAATCATCCATTGTATAGTTTATTAAAAATATAGACTCAAAATAAACTAAATCTATCACGTATCATTGAATTCTATATCCTAGTATTCTAAGCTTACTGTATCATTTCAATTTATTTATTTTTTAAATTTGAAAGATATCACTATAATGTTTACATTAATATTCGGTATATATGTACGTATGGGTTGTATTTTATTAAAAACTTTGACTTAAATAATTAATGTATTACAACTCAACAACAAATCACATTACCACTTGGCCACTCAACTCAGAATTGCTTTCCTCAATCTTCCATCCAATTTCACATAAAAAATTCTTGGTACCTATTTTCAAAAATGAAGAATTCTACAAACCACATTTTACAATCATTTTTTTTTGTTTTTATTTTTTGAAAAAGGATAATATTCACATTTTCTCTTTTTAAATAAATGTTCATACACATAACTTTAAATTAGCTTCTTTGGTCCCCTTTAATTTTTTTTTTTTTTTTTTTTTTTTGGGTACAAATTTGGTCCCTTTAGTTTACTTTATTAAAGCACACTAGCATCATTGAAAAAAAAAAATCCTGTTTCTCTATCAACAAAAACCCTAAAATAGCGGCTAAACAAGATTCTTTAAACATTATGATGATGATATGGTCAAGTGCAGTATTTTAAGCTTTTTTTTTTTTTTTTTTTTTTTTTGAAATCAGTATTTTAAGCTCAATTAACTATAATCTATTTCTATGATCTTCTTGAATGATCACTTAATATAAAATTTCAAGTGTACAAATAATAAATACGAGATTAAATCGTAAATTGACATTTATAGTATGCCTAGACTAATGTAATCATTTAGTTACTTAACCCTTTGTTTTAGAAATAAATTAGTTATGTTTTCGATTGAGGTGGTTAAGATGTACAACATATACTTGTATAAGTCATATAACCTTATTACGAAAGTTTATAAATTTAAGTTTATTGATTAATAAAAACCAAAATGAGTATGAAAGTGGGATATTGTTCTCTCCACTTTCATATGCCCAATATATTTATTAAAAATAAAAATGAATTAGCTTTTAACCTTAGATTAGTGTCGGTGATCTAATAAGACAATCTAAGTTTGACTTATTCGGCAAACACATCTACCAAATGGCAATCAATAATTTGATCAAACAACCAGTTATCCTCACTAATTTAGTCCACTATCAATCACTCAATAAGCTGCCACTATGTTTACCAATCATCATCAAAATAATGGACACTTTTGGAAACCCCAAAATTTTGAAATATTAAGGAGTGAAGAGTAACAAAATTATGAGTAAGTATTGATGTATAATTATGATATGCTTAAAAACAACAACTTACAAAGATATTATGAAGTGTTCAAAGATTTGTAAACTCATGTTTCACGAGGCAGGGCAACTAATAAGCTTGATTTTAATTGAGTCGTGATACACAATTATGAATCTAGACTTCTTCGAAAGCAGTAGATACTCGATAATCAATAAAGATCTAGTTATTTAAATCAAGTACAAGCATAATAATAGAAGAGTGCATACGTTATTTACTACAACGAGTAAAAAAAGTAAATATGACCATAACCTGTTAAAAAAAATAAGAGAAAAGATGGTTGATGTCATAGTTGTTCTTTCATTTCTGTTATAATTCCAAATTGACTTTGACATACAATCAACTATTTTTGGTTTATCATCTACTCCACTTTTGAAGTAGATCATTCCCCAACAAGATCATCTAGGCTTTACAATATTTTTCTTTCTTTTTTTTTTTGGCTGGATCCAAATTTCATTATTACCTCTCCATGATCTACACTTATCAATCTCCCTCCTTCCCTTTTTCCTATAATAATAATAGTAATAATCTTATATATGAACACTTAAAAGTTTCTATATCTATAGTACAACATCATCCATCCCCTTAAGCAATTAAATAAAAAATCTAAATGAATTAAAAAGAGAGGTGCCCATGTTCTTTGTTATGAACTATTCGGGCGTATAATAACCATATAACCATGATGAACGTCTTAGATTGATTACTCGGCTTCAGAGGGAATATCCTTTTTTACCTTCGGTTGGACACCATAATAACTAACGTACCACTTTACAAACTTCCTAAGACCGGTAGCCAAGTCCGTGGTGGGCTTGTACGCGAAATCCTTACGTGCCAAGGTAACATTAGCATGTGTGAAGGGCACATCTCCATTCCTTGGCATTGTGATCACATGTTTTTTAGCCTTCACATTCAATAACCCTTCCAAGATAGAAACTAGTCTCCCAACCCCAACAGGGCTAGTATTACCCAAATTGTACACCCTCAATTGAGCCGGCCCTCGCTTCTTGCCACCACTCCCGGTACTCTTCTCCGCCGTGTCTAGCGCCCCGACACAACCCTTCACGATGTCATCGACATACGTGAAGTCACGTGCCACCTCGGTCCCATCATGGGTCTTGTAAATATTAATGGGCTTCCCTTGCAAAATGTCCTTGGTGAAAAAAAAGTAGGCCATATCCGGTCGGCCCCACGGCCCATAAACAGTAAAAAACCTAAGCCCAGTAAGAGAAAGCCCATAAATGTGGTTATAAGTATGGGCTATCTCCTCCCCAGCCTTTTTAGTAGCAGCATAGAGGCTAGCCGGTTGGTCGGTCCGGTCCATTTCCGAGAACGGATTATCCTTATTAAGTCCATAAACAGAACTCGAGGAGGCCCAAACAATCGCGGGTTGTGGGACCGCGGCCTTAGCCACTTCTAAAAGGTTGATGAAGCCAGCAATGTTAGATTGTACATAAGATTGAGGGTTCTTCATAGCGTAACGCACCCCGGCTTGAGCCGCAAGATGTAGCACATGGGTAAATGGGACTATATCAAACAACTTGTTCAACATTGGGGTGTCATTTAGATCTGCTTCCACTATAAAGATTTGGTTCCTATATAAAATAATATAAAATTAATTAGGAAATAATATAATTGGTCCATCACAATAAATATATAGTACTAATAACAAATCATTTACAGCATATATCTTTCTTAATGCTTAGAATTTGGATTACATGGGTGAATTGTTTAATCTGAATTAAAAATTATATTGGAGTACAAGTAAAATCAGTAATCATTTTGTCTAATAAGTTTTAAACAAGTTACAATTATAATACTATCAATATAATTAATTATAATCCTTAATCAATTGTCTCTAATGAAGTTCTTATAGATCTTTGTTATTCACATTATAATTACCATTCAAAAATGAAGATAGATTCTACTTTTGACTTTTTTTACCGATCACCATCAAAGTAGGAACAATATTTAGAGACGAGTAATTATCGTTTGTAAATCAATTAATCAATCAAATTCCTATTAATTGTAGGCAAAGAAAATAAATAAATAAATAAATACTGCTCTGTCCCTAAATTACATTCCTCTTTCTCGCATTTATTCCGTAGGGACGGAGGGAATACTTACATAATAAAGAGAAAAAGGAATGTAATTTAGGGATAGAGGGAGTAGAATAAAATATATCAAGTAAAGAGTATCAAATATATTATGCTACTAGAATAAAGTGCAAAAAAATAAAAAAAAAAACATGTTGTAAAGTTGGGTGTGAAATGAATGGATGTATTATTACCTTGACAATAACTTTTGTCTTGCCCGTTTAAGTGATGGGTCATAGTAGCTGTTAAAATTGTCGAGTCCCAATACTCCGTCGCCCCTTTTTCTGAGGGCGAGGGAGCAATGGGTGCCGACAAAACCTGCGGCGCCCGTAACGAGTATTGAAAATCCGTTAGGGCGCCGCGGGGTTGAGGACTGGCGCACCTGCTTCTCCCAGGCTGCGCCAGTCCCGTAGAAACCCGACGAGAAGAATCGGCTCGTCGTGTGGATTGACGCATTCTGCGAGTCACCACCGCCGATTGGGTAGTTGAGAGTAAAGAAGAATACGAGGAGGAGCGCCACGAGGAGGGTTACTCGGAATAGGAGCTTCGACGAGGCGGCTAATAGCTTAGTGTTGTTCACGCGCCGTAGGTAGCTGTTGTACCTTTCTAGCTTTGTGCTCTTGCTGAGGTCTGGAGAAAACGCCATATTGTATTATGTGTTGGAAGATAATGTTTAATTTGTTACTTCGTAAATGATTTTTGAGATGTGAGAAAATAAAAATGATCAATTTTTATTTTTGGTTTTATAGGAAAAAAAAAAAGTTTAAATAAAGGGCTCAGTATTTGATGAGGGAATGGAGAATCATTGAGCCCTGAAGAATGAATGAGAAGAATGGATGAGAAATATAAAGGAGAGAAGGGAAGAGAGAAAATTAATTTTTAAAAATAAATGTAATTAATAATTAATATTTAAAAAAAGAGGAGAGAGAAATGAGGGGGTTGGGTTGGGTGGAGACCACTAAATGCAAACTATGGTGTGTGCTTTTATGCTTTTAATAATTAATTAAAATGGCTTTTATTAAAAATAAAAATTGTTAAGATAGGTATAGAAATTATAGCATATGTTAATAAGAGTCTTGAAGATCGATTGATTGATTTTAAGTAGTTTGTTGATTTGAGGAGTAAATGAAGGAGTGTAACACTTAACTAACTATTATCTAGGTTAAATTGTTAATTTCCTATAAAAACCTAGTTATATTATTTTATTGTAGAAAATATTTGCTCACTAATTACTGTAGAGTACGTAAGTATTCTGTAAATATCTTTTACTCTTATATTTTACTCTATACGAATGTTGAAAGAAAATATATACAAATTAAAGTATAACCATTTTTAAATATCTAAAATGAAGTGACCAATTTTATTACTATGTATTAATTTTTTAATCAAATTACTAGCTCACTACTATTGATAATGCTAGTACATATATCCATATAATTTTTACAAAGTACATAAATTAGTATTTAGTGACTTGGGTAAGAGTACTTTTTTTTTTTTGGTAAAAAAGTGATTTATGTACTTAATTAAATAACATATCATAATAATAAAGTATATAATAGAGAATTGTAATTAATATCTCTAATTTTGTAAATATCTACTGTATATTTTGTTTATAAATTTGTTTTTTTAATGTGTGTTATTCCACACTTATTTCACTCGTATCCCACTACTTTTTCACCAACAACAAATTTAAAGGAAATGGTCCACAATCATTTATAGGCTTATAGCATATATATAGGCAATCTATAAGCGAAGTAAAATCCAATCCAAATTTGTCACCCTTGTAGCCTTGCTCCTCTTTAAATCAAAACTTCTACCACTAGAAATTTAGTAAGATGACTTATCAGTAAGGTTTTGGTCTAGTGATTAATAATAAGTACTAAGTAGATCGCTGAGGCACCGACTCAATCGCGCAGCTCACTCTCATTTGTACAAAGTATCTTATATTGTTCTTATGGCTTATTCAAATTAAAAAAAAAAAATTGATGATGGCAATATACTTAGCTTTAACATTGTTAGCATGCATCTCACCAATTAAATAACCAAAAGAGTATCATTTTAGGTGTGAATGTAATTACAAGGTAGGTTAGGCGATCAGATCATACAATTATACACTCGGATGTACTCAAATTAAAGATAAATATGTCCAACTGATCTAGACGTACGTTATTGCTTATTAATTACAAGGTAGCTTATAGCTTAGGCGATCCGATCATACAATAACATCAAATGCGTGTAAACATTTCAGTAAATGATAAATATTTAATCTTAAATTCTATAAAGTACTTACGACGCGAGTAATATTTAGTACAGTAGAAATTTTGTTCCCCTAAATTAAAAAGGTACTGTAATAGATAATCTGTTACCTATTTTAGATCATAGTATATAATTGAAAATTTTATTTCTTAGTACAATAATCTCATATTTACATGCCAAATGATCTTAATTACCTTCAATTTGCATCGTGCTAGTGGCTAAGGCACCATTGCCAGCTATATGAAGCCGTGTTACAAAATCTTCTGACCATGTGAACAACACGTGTTTTCATTGAAATTTTTCCTCTTCTTTCACACCCCTATTTTCCAACTACATTTTGTCCCCCCTATTACTCTATTAATTATATTAAATTATACGGAGTATTACATCATATACTCCATATTATTAATTTTTTAACTGATTATAAATTGCAATGCCTAAGTGATAATTATGTTATGCCAAAAATTTCACAAAATAATTACAATAAGATACAGAAAGAAAATGAATGTGAAAACATATACTCTGAAGTACTAATTCCTACATTACATACATTATGTTTGTTACTCGTTTTTATTATGGATCACCCCCTTTTTAATCCAGTCACACATAATGTTTCATAGTGTTAGTGACTTAGGGCTTGTTCTCTTCGGCTTAATTTTAGTTCAGTTAAGTTCAGCTTTAATAAGCTCAGTTCAGTTCCTAATTTTCTTCTAACATAAATAGTTCAGTTCAATTGTTTTTAATAAATCAGAACAACCCCTTAATGTGCATTTTCACAATCCCCATTATATAAACTCATTTAATTTTAACCAGTATATTTAAATATGGGGCTTAACCTCACCTGTTACTGAGAAATAGTTCACTTCACAAGTCTAATGAGACAACAATAGAAGGAATAGCCCTTAATTTATAAAGTGTTTAAATTCTTTCAACATTTATTTAATATGAGACACTTAAATTAATCAATCAATCAAAGTGTTAATCCAACTATATAATGAAGTCAGGTATATAAACTAAAAGTGATTATTCTCATTCTTCACAAAAATTTTCCTCCTTTATCCCTTTCTATCAAATACCAAATTCTCATGCAAATCCATATACTTTAACAACTCGTAAAACATAAAGTTCTATACAGAAGTACAAAATATACGTAGTGTACTATAGAGAGGTTGGTAAAATCTTATATGCTACGTCTTTGATTAATAGACCTATTATTTTGAAAAATTGTACGAAATAATAATATTTTTGACCACAATTATGCTTTGGTTTTATAGATCATATAAACGCATGCTTATGCATGGATTTGATTATAATGGGGAAGTGATTGTGTTTCAAAGGTGTTATAATTGAAGTTCTAGGACATTCGTAATATAAATAGAGTACAAGCACTATTGTTTTGTTATGATTAATTAGCTTGCCAACTAAGTTAAGCTTTAAGAAAAAGATAAGATTATAAAAATGAGAGAGAATGTATAAAGTAGTATAATAATTAATAAAGTGAGGTAGAAATCATTAGGTTTCAGTACGTTGTAGTATAGTATAATAAGATTAATTAAATAAAATGAAGAAATTTAAAACTAAATTTTTTCCTTCAAAAAAATTATTATTAATTACCTTTTGGAGGGTTATAACTTTGTCCATAATCATTTGATGAAATGCTTAATTATTAAAGTAAAACTTGCAGTGACAGAGAAAAAGGGTGTAGGGATTAATTAGACAGTAAATCAATAAAGTTCTTAAAAGGACAAAAAAAGGTTGAAATTAAGAACCGAAGAGGTAGGCACTAAATTCTATCCAAGGGGGGAAAAAAAAAGAGGGGCTATTTAGTCTTTACACATTTGGCAAAATTATGTACCGACCTAGTTAATAGTTCTCTGGAGTAATTATTTTATGACAATCAATTAAACTAGTGTATAGCTCAGATGATTTATGGATTCGTTGTAGCTTCATATATCAATCATATTGTATTATTGAATTAATAATGAAGAATAAAATAAAATATTATAAACACAAAAAAAAAAAAAAAAAAAATTGCATACACTTTAATTCAGTTCATGCTTTCTCATTTGGGTTGACAAGGAGTCTCACAATTATAATTCATAATATGCTCAAAATTAGTAGCGTAGAAAATAAAACTCCCGACATAATATAAGTTTATAACATACACATACCAAAAGATTACACAAAGACATAATGGTACAAAACAAACTCAATATATAAATAAATAAAGCAAGGAAAAATGATAAACAAAACAATAATATTTGGACTGTTTTAACTTTTAAGTACATGTGTTATGTTGGCTATGTATAGTAGGTCGAAATTTAGAATAGTTTAGCATGGTTTATTATTATAGACAATATCAACCACTTAATATAGTTTAGCTAGAATGGTTTATTATTCACAATATATATCAACCATATATGATAGGGACTTGTTTGATATAATATTGTTTTGGGCCTTGCTTATTTAATTATAATTATATGGAGAATTTAATTAAGTAGTTAGAGACTAAAACAAAATAGTTAATTTGATATAATAAAGAGTGGATAAAGGCAATCCGATCATGCTTTTTTTTTTTTTTTGTTGTATATCTTGGATTGAAATTGTAGCAGAAATATGATGTTAGGCCACTAGAAATATCGACGTAGAAAAGAAACAATACATTTTGATACATTAATATTTAATCTCTTTATTATTTTTTTAGAGAAGCGCAACAAAGGATAAATGGTATAGATGGGACATTGATATCACCCTACAAAAATGAATGAACTAATTAAACTAGTCCTAATTTGACATCCATTGCTTACTTGACTTGTAATATTCAAATTAAGGTATGCAAATTAAAATTATATGAATATCTCATGCATTGCCGACATATATACGGTAAAGATCTAACGATAATTATTTCCAAGTGCATGAATAATACATACAATATGCATAATTAGATAACTACTACTAGTAATAGATTCTCTTCTAATTAGAAACTACGTATATACATACATTTACTACTTGTAGGCTTGTAGCATCACACTTATGTGAGAAGCAATGCAAATAAATGTATACTATATATATAATCCTATATTAATCACACTTATAGATAAATTAAAATAACATATAGTACGATTAAATACAATACAAAGTCGGTCCATGTGGTTTATTAATGTATTAAGCTTAATTTGGCATATAAAAAAAGTTAGTTTTTGTCACCTCTTCCTTTCATGGAAGGTGCAGTGAAGGTTTTGCAGTGTGGATTCAGGGGAGGGAATAACTAACATGCTTCACGCAGCTACCTAATTAACAATTAATTACACTAATTAATTATATGCTTATTACTCCTTCTTATGATAAGTAGCTCTCGTTTGATCTTAATCAAATAAACTTCATTGTTACTTTATAAGGTTATATCTCCTTTTTTTTGTTACATATCTGTTTACGATTAAATTTCATATTATTGAGAAATTAGGGTGTGGTATGTTCTATTTCACTTGAGATCCACGTACTTATGTGAGTTTATCTGATTTAGGCAAAACCTCTACCCAATTGTTGAGAGAAGTATTTTTCAATTTTTCATATTATAAG